CAGTGCACATCATAGCAACTGGTTGACCGGTCGCTTAGGCTTTTATATATACAGACTAGAGGCCTGATGCACAAAATTCGTGCAAGGGCTTTGGCCCTCGCAGCCCCGGCTTTGCCTGGAAGGATGTCCAGAAGGTCATTTTGCTGTCTGGTCTAATTAGCTTATTATGCTTTTATTATTATAGTTAACTAAGAGACTAGATTTTGGAACCAAATCATTTGAGGGTTTTGTCCCAGCTTTGTCACTAGTTATGTTTCCTTTGGCAAATGACTAAAGAAACTTGGAAAAGTTACAATACCTCCCTGAATCTGTTTTGTGTAACATGGGGATTAGAATTTCTACCTCATCGGGTTCTCGGGAGGGTTAAAGGAGATCATGCGTGTACAGACCTGATCATGGCATTGGGTACATTGAAGTGTCCAATGAATGGTAGCTACTACCAATAAGTGGATATGGAGGCACAATTCAAAAATAGAGCTAGGCTACACCCTGTGGGCAGAAGTGAGAGAGGGGGAGCAACGAGGAGGTTTCCGTTGCCAGGAGAGCTTCATTGAGGAGAAAAGGGGGTTCTGAAAGATGGTCGGAGGCATGGAGAAATGTTATGTGGGGTTCTGGAACCACATGTCTCTGAGTTCAAATCCTGGCCCCACCACTTATTGGCTGTGTGCCTTTGGAGCAAGTTAATTAACCTCTCTGAGACTTTCCTCATCTGCAGAGTGGAAACAATGATTGGCACTTCATAGGGGCTGGGAAGAGGCAGGGAGATAGGTAGGCCAGATGCCTGTGAACAAAAGGGGCCCTAGAAGTGGTGGCTGTTGGAGGAAGAGTATGACAAAGGCTTGAAAGCAGGCGAGCAAGAGAAATGCTAACTCCAGGGACAGAATGTCAAGAGCTGCCATTCATTAGAGTGTGCTAAGTGCCAAGTAGAGGGCAGTTAGAGGCTGGTCAAGAGCACTGCGAGTCAGGTGACTGAATTCTTCCCTGTGTCACCAGGGCAAGTCATGTAAGCTCCCCAAGCTTTAGTTCCCTCGCTTGTAAAATTCAGGTACTAACTGTGCTTTCCCTGAGTGCTGGGTAGGGGTCGAATGAGATAATGTGCGTGAAGTCATTAGCACAGTGCCCAGCACATAGAAAACACTCTGTACCCCCAGTTATCATTATTATTTACATGGACATTTCCTCCTTTGATCCTCACAACAACCCCACGAGTGAAGTGTCATCACCCCCTATTTATAGATCAAGCAGCTGGGGCTCCGAGACCAAATCGCCTGCCTGAGGCCACAGCGAGGAAGCAGTGGGGCAGCTCTGAAATCGCAGCTTCCTCACGCTCCTCGACTTTCAGATAAGCTGGTACCAGGGTTGCGGCAACATGACAACTATTTTTAAATGTGTCTTATGCCAAAACCCTCATGTATCTCTTCTCTTCTGGCTGTCCCCACTGTGACCTCGCCCCCTCATCTGTTGAAGATGGAAAGTTTAGGGTTGTCTGCGACCCTGGAAGCCACCATGAGCCCATGGGTGCTGCCCCTCTTGGGGACTTACAGCTTCTCAAGGTTGACTGGGTTTATGAAACATCCATTCTGACACAGACAGGCTTCCAGCTGGCTGCAACCCTCCTCCTCGGTGCCAATTAATGGAAATCCAATGTCCCTGGCACGCTTTGTAATTCAGAAAGGGCACGTGCTGATTCCTCAGACCCCTGCTGGACATGTCACTATGACCAAGGGGCTCCAGGCCCACGTGCTACCTCTCACTCCATCTCCATTTAAAGTCACAGACTCTTCTTCCGGCATAGAAATCAATATCGCCTCATTCATTTTCATTACACAAATATTGACTGACCATCCACTGTGCACCAGGTTTTGTTCCATACAGTTGGGGTACCGCAGTGAACAATGCAAGTAAGGTCCCTGCCTTCATGAAGGAGGGTGAGTGATAAGCAAACACATAGAATTATTTCTATGTGACATGTTATCAAGGAAACCAGACAATGGGACAGAGAATGGCTGAGGAGGATGAGCTATTAGGTAGGGTGGCCAGGAAAGGTTTTTCCAAAGAAGTGACATTTGAGCTGAGATTTGAAAGCTAAGAAGGAACTAGACATACAGTGTGGTGAGGCAAACAGGACTGAGCTCAATGTGTCTAGGAAATTCATTCATTAATCAGACATTTTTTATCATACAACAAATATGTGTTGAATGACCAAGTGGACGATGGATGAATCCCCTTTTTCCTGCCAGAAGGGCCTTCATAAGGAGGATGAACTGGGGGTGGCGGCACAGCATTTTCTCCAGCCCCATCCTCAGCTCTGAAACAAGGGGCCTGGCTCAGGCACTGGCATCCGGGGCTGCAGGAGCTTAAGAACTCGCCTTCTTCCAAAGGAATTGGCCCTCCCGGCACTTTAAAACAATGACTGCACAGCCAGTCAAAAGTAATTTGTCTTTTTTTTTTTCTAAGCAGTCAAAATGGTTGTTTGGAATTGTGTAGACAAGACATGAAATGTCATCTCATTTGTTATTATTAGGATATATTTATTGAATTTCCAAGCCCATTATTCATTGGACTTATTAGTTATTGTCTCTCTCCCTGTCCCTCCCTCCCTCCTTCTTGTCTTCCTCCTCCTTCTCTCCCTATCTTTCTCTCTGGCCCAGCAGTTAAGACCCCAGGCTATAGAATTGGAACACTTCAGTTGTACTCCAAGTGTGACTTGCTGTGTGACTATAGGAAAGTCACCTCACCTCTCTGAGTCTCAATTTTTTTCATCTATAAATTGGGATTAAAAAATAAAGTCCATCCCACAACAACTACATAAATAAATACTGTACTGCGCTATCATTATCCTCACGTTTAGGTTAGGATGTAAGATTTTAAGAACTCAATTCAGAAAACTGAGACTTAGATTTTTAAGACAAAAGAAACTAGCAATGAGTGTGGCAATGCGTCAGTTGGATGATCTGTGTCCACTTGAAGGGTTTCCCATTGAGATAATCAAGAAGCAGGATCACAATAAACAGCCTTCAAGATGTCTCTTCATTTATTAATAATACTTGTGAGCCAGCAATTATAGACCCCTGCTATGGGCCACACACTGTTCTATTGCTTTACTTATATTGACTGATTAAAAAAATCTCACCACACCATACATAGTAAACATTGTTACTATCCCCAGATTACCGATAGGGAAGCTAAAACCTAGAGCGATTAAATAATTTCCACAGGGTCACATGGTTAGGCGTTAGACTCTGGGAGTAAAACCGGGTAACCTGGCTCGAGTCTGCGCTGCTAACCTCTTGCCACCTCATTCAAGCTGGGAGCAAGCTTTCTTGCTGACATCAGAGTTTTTTATGCCAAGTAGACTTGTCCTCTGCGTGTTCAATAAACAAAGAATTATTACCTGCCTAATCCTGAAACCCCGCCTACAGACACAGCACTAACAAGGGCTGCCACCCAGCCCTGCGCAATGCCCGCTGTAGGTGAATTCCGCCTCCCCACTGATGGGGTTTTCAGTGCCTATTAAAATGTCAGTCGATCTTGGAGTTGAAGTTCTTTCTACATCATTTAGCACAACCTGGAAGGTCAAATCAATGTGCAGCCAGCCTTCCCTTGGCAGTTACTTCCTTATTACTTCCCTGCCCCTGCACTCGCTCAGAAATGCTACATCACAATAAATGTAGTTAAAAGAGCGGACCAACCACCACCTCTCCCCAGGGATCCAGGAGAGATCAAAGCGGCTGTCCCTGGGCCCCTGTGATCTTAACAGGCTGAGCCATCTCCAGAGGCAGGTGCCCAGCCTCAGCACGGCACCCGCTTAGGCACAGGGGCGAGAAGCAGGCCACGTCTAACACAGCGCCTTCCCCTGTAAGGACGGAAAGGCGTGAATAGCAGGATGAAACTCCTGCCTGCATTTGGTGGTGCACAGGGAGGACAGCATAGCTCCAGATCCGTGTGACTTCTTGACATGGGGGGACATTGAGTGGGGCAGGCGGCAGATGAGTCACATTTGCAGCCTCTGAGAGCTCAGTTTTGAGCCCGGATGTGGGCTGCCTGCTTGAAAGCTCGGGCCCCTTCAGTGCACCGTGTTTCTGGAGCCACGGATCACAATTCCGCTGTGGGAGAGTGGGGGTTCGGGTAAGGCTCCCCAAAATTGGCGGTTCCCATAGACTTGGTCGGTGAGATCTGACTGTCCCGCACCACCCCGCCAAGAATGAGGCTGTGATCGTCATTACAGTTTCCCCAGAGAGAAAACTGGCCTGTTAGATCAGCAGGAGCCCGTGGCGAGAAAAGAGATCAGGCTTCAGATGAAAGAAATTGGGCAGAAGATGGAAAACTCCCTCTACCACTCGTTTCCTGTTTTGCTGGGTTTTCATGGGAACTCCCTTGGGACAAACTCTGAGGTGGAGTCTTTTAGAAAGCAAGTCTTTCTGTTATTGGACCAATTTCCCATCATCCTTTTGGCTTTCTCCTGTCCCCTTCAGCGTGGTCAGCTGGGACTTGATCTGCACTGAGAAGGGTGGAGAGCCCAGCACTGGCAGCTGAGTCACAGGGAGCAGCTGACTCCTGTGATGCGCATTCAAACCGCCTGCCCTCACCCCGGACAGGTGCCGCCAGGTGTTGGCTGCGCTTCCTTGTGATCATTCTCAGCCTCAGGAAAAGAAAAGGGGCCAAGGGCTGGGTGGGAGGGGAGGACATTGGTCACACATGTAGGTTGCTAGAGATGCAGGTTGAGCTTGGTCATCAGAATAGAATATTTGAGGCCTCAGAGAAATCCTGGTGGCTTTGGGATTTTAACTTTTCATTTTTGGAAGAATTTCAGACTTATAAAAATGTTGCTACAATAGTGCAAAGAAGTCCTGTATACCCTTCAGGGAGGTTCCCTAGAGATGAACATTTTACTGTTTTGCTTCTGTCTCTCATATAGACTAATAAGAATTTTAAAGGACTATGTCTTCCCAGCATGCATGTGCACACAAGAGATTCTGAAATCTTTTTCCCCTTCACAGACCCTGCCTTGGTAATCTTCCCGGGAGGAGCTAGCAACAACGGGGACACTGACGAGAACCAACGATCTGATTGGATGGAAACTGCTCAATGGAGAGTTTGTGGACCATGTGATATTGCTTGGACTTCGGGGATGGTACAGGAGTACCAACAGGCTGGCCTCCAAGACAGAGGGTAATGGTGGGCCAGGGTAGAGAAAAGCAAGCAGGTCGTGTGCTGTCTCAGGTTACACCAGACTCCCATCCCTCCTGTTACTTCGTTCTGTTGTCAAAGTCAAACTTGATCTTGCCAGTTTCTCACCTCAGCACCGACCTGACAAATGAAATGCCCTCAGCTCTGTGGCTGGCCTCTCAGCTCAGGTTTAGAGCAGAGCAGGGGGAACATAATGTCCTGCTTGTGGGTGTTTGGGCCGGAGAGGCCGATGCTTCTACAGTGTTCCCGTCTTTCACCCCTCAACTCCCGCCCGAGCTCCTGCACCCCTCTGCCACGTCCCCATCCTTTCCATTCCAGTTCTCTCCTGTCTCCCCCCGCCCCGACACTGAACATCCTGACCAAGGAAACAGGACTTGGCACTTAAAGAATCTCAGGCAAGAAAAATCCATGATGTTGTGAGAGAGACACACAGACTACAATGCTCACAGAGAAGCTATTTCAAGTCTAAAGATATAAAAATGAATTCTTTTGGGTTCAGAAGTAAGTCACCTTAAAGGACAAGTCATTAGAAGATAGTCTACCCCTGGTTTTAAATAATTGTAATTTTAGCCCTGGTCAGTGTCGCACCAGGGTTGTGGGTTCGATTCCTGGTCAAGGGCACGTACCTGGGTTGCAGGTTTGATTCCCAGCCCCGGTCAAGGCTTGTGGGGGAGGCAACCAACGGATGTGTCTCTCTCACATCAGTGTTTCTCTCTCTCTCTCTCTCTCTCTCCCACTTTCCTCCCCCCTTCCACTCTCTCTAAAAATCAATGGGGAAAATATCCTCATGTGAGGATTAACAACAACAAAAATTGTAATTTTAAATTATCCGTGCTAACACAGATAAATGCAACTCACAAACACCCCGGGACTCTCTGAGCCATACACTTTCATCTTCTCCCTTAAGACGTCAATAGGAATTTTATTTTTAAAAGCACGTGCTTTGGTTACCAAAGACCATGACAGGAAGGCAGCGTCATTTGGATATGTTGGCTGTTTTAAAGTTCAGCATCATAACCTGGCACCGACGCATCCTGTCTTCCACCCAGGCCTGCTCGTAAGCAGCAGCAAACAGCAGCCCAGCCGTGAGAGAGTAAGGATTGCATTTTGTGGTCACAGAAATGTTTTCTTCCGAGTGAAGCTGGCACCCATCCCCTCACGGGATGAGTAACTTAACCACACCCTTCTCTCGGTTAACCTTAGGGGCAACAAGAAGTCCCAAAGGATTGGCTTTTTCTGCCAAGCGGTGAGTGAGAAAGCAGGCGGTATAACGAGGCCGCAGACAGGGTAACTCAGTGATGACATCTCACATGTGGTCCATGATGGTGCTGCCAACTGTCAGTCAACCCTTCTCTCTGACCCACTGGGACTAAAGCGCCAGTTCCATCTCCTCCGGGATGAATTCGGGTTTTCTAGGCTCGGCAGCAATGAGTACAGAGATGCTGCCTTCAGATTCTTCCGCGAGGCCTTGCAGCCTACCTAGAAACAGGTTGCCACGACTTCGTTCTCCAGGGTAAAGCCAGAACGTCAGCGTTGCAAGGAATTTTGCTTTTATGGATGATGTACGGAAAGGTTAAGGAAATGCGAGCTGCCCGCACTTAAGCAAGTTCTATAACCCGGGGGAGACAGCGTCACTTCTAATCCCCAGAAGCCTTTAGCCCACACTGGTTAGTGCAGCCTTGTCTCCAGGCCTTGGTGCAGGCTGTCTTCTCACAGTGGCTTCTCCCTCTCCTGTTTAGAGCAACTGAAAACCACCACTCTCCCTCTCACACTGGCTGGGTGTTAAGTCTCTGGGAACTTTCTAGAGTTTAGGATGGAAAGTTTCCCTTGCACCTGCATCATCAATCAACCAAATATTTTTTTAAAAACACAAAATGAAGACTCTGATTTCTTCCCAGCCAGACCCAGAAGCTTAAGAAAACCTCCCCTGTATCCTAACATTTTCACCTCTGGACTGTCAGTTCCAGGATTATAGATTCCCAGGAGTCAGGAGTCAAAAGGTGGTGGAGGTGCTGGGGCGGCAGGCAAGGGTGCATTATCATGATTGGAAGGAGGGCAGCCCATGCCCTGGCCGGCGTGGCTCGGTTGGTTGGTCAGGACACATGCCCAGGTTTCCAGTTCAATCCCTGGTCAGAGTGTGTGTGGAAGGCAGCTGATCAATGTTACTCCCTCACATGGATGTTTCTCACTCTCTCTCCTTCTAAGCCCTTCCATTCTTTCTAAAATCAATAAAAACATATTTAAGAACTAGAATGAGGTCAGCCCTGAAGTTTACCCCAGAATAGTGTGCTAACCATGAAGTCTGAGTTTCATCTTTTGGAATTGTTGCTTCTTACTACTATGCATTGGGTCAGTGGGGAGAAGGTGTTTAGGGGGGAAAAGAAAAGGGATAAAAATTCGCTCCTCCATTGGAAATATAAGCAGAAAAGCTCTAGACGTTGTGTCTCTGCTTCCTTTTTTAAGTACAGTGTTTTTAATAGACCAAAAGAGAATCTTTGTGAGGAAATATGTGTGCGAATAATGTTTATAAAAAGAGTATATAATAATATGTTAGTGACTGTGGACTGTTGTATAAATAAGCCTTAGCTATATAAAATACATAAACATATAAGATCATTCTATAGGGTAGTGGACACTTAAGGCCTTCCCACTTGTCATCTCTTTGTCCTAAGTAGAGTCGCAGGCTGGCAGCTTAGTTCCTGGACCTGCTGCTGTGCAGCCGCGAGGCTCATGGGGTTGGTTCGCTTGTTTTCCGGTTTTGTAACGTGCCGCTTGTGCGGATTACTTTGCACTGTCTGCTGCGTGTGTGTTGGTGTTGTTTACCCACATGGAGTCCTCAGAGACCCGTTCCACACTTTGCATCTTGGAAAACCACACGGAACTTTCTAGTGAGAAGATCCACAGAACATGCCTTCACTGTTGGGGAGCTCTCCGAGTTGGACCCCTGACAGCTTGCTGTGAGGCTGAGCAAATGGGAAGTTTAACATCGGCCTTGTCTCGCGCTTCAATATCTGGTGTTGGACATCTTTTCCCCCGGGAAGGAGTCACATGCTTTGCTAAGTCCCTTTTCCCCCTGGACTTGGCGTATTCTGGAGGAAACCAGAGGTCGGCCCTCACCCCCCTACCCCCGCTTCAGGACTCCCCTCCGGCAGCAAATTCTAAAGAACCGCCATGTGCTCTGTGACTCGGGACCGACTCAGTGCTTCCAGAACCCAGGGTTTTAGTTGTTTGGGTCTGTGGCTCTAAGGAAGTGTGAAGTCTGCCTTTACCACCCAGGCCGATCTGAAGAAGGAAAGCGGGGAGGTGGGGGCTCCGCTCACACCTCCCACATCAGCAGGGAGGAGTGGGCCACGAACGGCGTGAAATGCCATCTGCTCTCCACGCGGGAGGGCGCGGTCCTGTGGAAGCGGACAGATTACCAAGTCTCCTTTGCCAAAAATGCATGTTGTTCCCAGCTGTACGCTTGTGAAGCCGGTATGTGCTTTGGTAGGAAACAATAAAACAGGTTTATTTTCACTTAACAGAGCTGTCTCTCAGGCCCGGTGTTTTCAGTAGCTGCCTTGGAGAGAGAGGGGAGTACTTCGTCATAGATTAAATGTCAGCATTGAGCATTAATTTTCCCAAAGGGCCTTGGTTCCTGGCAGCCGCTCTGGACATTCAAAAGGGAGGGCTGGGAGGAGAGGAATCACTTCGTGGGAGGGGAAGTGCTTCCTTTCGGTGGGGATGGCTGGGAGCAGGGGTGAGTGACAGGCACTTCCTCTAACCAGGCTGTCACCTCCATAGAGCAAGCCCACAAGGGCCCCCACAGGCCTCCTGGCCAGAAGTCTCTGGGTGCTTAGTGCAAAGGTGAGCAGCACACCCTCAAGAGCTTGGCTGCCTGCCGCTTAGCAGCTGTGTGGCCTTGGGCAAATCGCCTAACCTCTCTGTGGTTCAGGTTCCTTTTCTGGAAAATGAAGATATAATAGCACCTACCTGAGTGGTGTTAGGGAATAAATGTCTGAAGACACGTAGAATGCTTCGAACAGTGTACTCAATAGAATTCTTGTTTTACCACCACAATATTTTCCATATCCACCAACCTTCCTTTTCTTTCTTTCTTTCTTTTTTTTTTTTTTTTTACTTTTAAAAAAGTGTTTAATTAAATTTATGGGGGTGACATGGGATCATAAAACTATATAGGTTTCAAGTGTACAATTCTATAATACATCCTGTATTATATTATTATTTACTTAATATCCTTTCTTTAATTGGCTCCATTTTAATTTAAAATTTAATTAAAACTTTGTATCGCCACTGGAGATGGAAAAGCAGTCGAATGTGCCAGGAATACAAGGTAGCAGCCAAACAGCTTGCGCCCCGAGTCCTTGCTGCTGGTCAGGCTCCGTGCTGAGTCTTAACTCTTAGGACCCTCACAGCCTCTGAGGCGAGAACCATCACTTTACAGATGAGGAAACTGAGGCACAAGGAGATGAGCAAATTTGCCTCCCATGACACACTTAGTGTAGGAAGCCAGGCTCCCGAGCACGGCGGGTGCATTAGCTTCCTGGGCTGCTGCAACGAGTACCACAATGGAGACACTCTCTCCCGGGCCTGGGGCTAGAAGTCCAAAGTCAAGAGGTTGGCAGGGGAGCTCCCTCCAAGCCTCGCCTCTTCCAGCTTCTGGATAGCCCCAGTCGGAGCTTGGCTGTGACTGCATCACTCTAGTCTCTGGCCCGTGGTCATGGTGGCATTCCCTCTGTCTCTAAGTCTCTCTCCTCCTCTTGTAAGGACAGCATCATATTGGATTAGGGTCCGCCCGAATGACCTCATCTTAACTATATCTACCAGACCCTACCTATTTCCAAATAAGGTTCCATTCACAGATACCAGGAGTTGACTTCCACGTATCTTTGGGGAAGGGAGGGGAAGAGACACAATTCAACTCAACTCAGAACAGTTGCCTAACCGGGCGGTGCACCTGGGGCTGAAGATCTGCCGGTTCTGGGGAGGTGTTCAGGATGGGCAGCAGCTTGAGGCTTCCCCGCAATGCAGTCGGACTGAAGGAGACGGGATGATGCTTCTGTATTTCCATGACACTGTGCCCCCAGTCCAGGTACTAATGAAAATTAACCACCTCCTGCCCCAGCACTGGTGCTTTGGGAAAGGGGGCTTGGCATAAGTAGCAATTCTCCCCACTCCCCAGACATCCTCGGGAAAGGAGGGCAGTCGAAAGATGGTGGAAAACGCAGCCTTCCCAAACTCCAGGCACAGCAAGGCCAGACGAACAGTCTTCACTGGGGTGTGTGGAAAGAAAGAGCAGCAGTGAAGAGAGCGGGGGGGGGGGGGTCGTTTATTTTCATCTATTTCCATGAAAACTTAACAAGAAGAATGGTCTCTCTACTAAGAGGGTTTTGAGAAGAGGGCAAGGGGGAGTGAGGAGGAGTTTCTTGCTTTCTTTGTTAAACAAAGGTGTCCTTCGTTGAAGGGGCTGCTGAGATTTCGTAGAGATGGGAGGTCCTCATCTTGAGCTCCCGGGCCAGCTGACAGATGGACAAAGGCCAACAGCAGTGCACGGCCAGCCAGTCCTCACACAGCGTGCCCTGCGGGGAGACACAGTGTCCGTCCTAGTGCAATCCCACAGGCTCAGTCATCACCCCGGGCCTCCACAGTCCTACCTGGTGGCCCATCCCATGCACAGCTTCCAAGGTCCACCGATGCCCCCAAGTCAGCACACAGGGACACAGCTCCGCTGGCTTTCCCAAGTCCCAAGCTGCTCACTGCTAATCAGTCCTTGCAATTCAAACACCTGCTCTTTGGGCTTTGATACCGGCTTCATACTTGAAACCACTGCTTCCTCTGCCAGCATCTTTTTTCTTCCTCTTAGAACTTAACATTTATAATTACTTTATTTATTTCTTTGAGGTGGGTAATAAGTCCACATCGCCCAAAATTCCCACAGTAAGCAGGGGTAGGAAGTAAAAAGTAAATCCCCTTCTACAGGTGTCCCCAGACACTCAATTACCTGTCTAGGGCAAGCAGTGTTGGAGTTTGTTACCTACACTCCCAAATAAATTGTCTACACAGTATATAGATATATAGTATTTTATGTAAATAGTTGCAAACTGCTATGCTGTGCTCTCTTTTTCACTTAAAAATGTGTCTTAGAGACCATTTCATATGAATATATAAAGAGACGCTCTTCTTTAACTATCCACACCTTAATCTGTATGCTGTCTGTCCTCGCTCCCTCATTGTAACTCAGTCCCAGCTGAACTGGAAGTGAATTCTGCATATGCCACATAGACTACATTTTAAGTCAGACCAGCCCGAATCTCTCTTCCAAATTTGATGCAATGCTACCCGCAGTCTTCTCCTGATGCAATGAGGGGAACAGGACTGGCCCACTGACCCGTAATCTGCATTATAGTAAGTCCCCCTTGGAAATACCCTGCGCAGGTTGGAAAGGCATCCAGGTTCCCACACAGACCCAGGTTCGCACATGCATGCAAACACACTTACCCATATTTTATGTCTCTCTCTGGTGCCAACTCTCAGGGCAAAGGTGGAGCCAGGTAACAACGGCCAACAAAAACACTCTCCATAATGCCTGGCGATGTCACACTCAAGGCACATGGGACAAAACAGACCACAGAAACCTGTCAATAACCACACAAAAGAAAGGTCAGGTGCTCAGATGTGATCAGAGAGAGTTTCCACCCCAAAGAGCATTTACTGCCCTGTGCCATCAATTTAATGCTGCACCTTCTCCCTGCAATCAGGAGGAGGAGTGACCGATTCTCAAAACTCGGTGTATGAAAATCGCCATAACTGAGGCCTGTCAAAACTGTCTCCTTTTGTTAAACACTGACAGTGCTGAACCTGATAGAGCTCTGCTAGCGGTCACTATGGTAATTGTTTTTTCCTGTCAAGAGAAAGCATTAAATAATGTTTTCCAGTTGAATAACAACTGTCACCTCTATTATGTTTATCTACCTGATTTCAATATTTAAAATAGACACAGTTATGATGCTTTTGAATAGCAGGCATCGTTGTCTGTAGATGGGGGTGAAAGCTTGTCACTGGCCCACTGATCCTGCTTGCTCCTTATCAGGACTTCATTCTATTGCTCAGGTCAGGAGGTTACTCTCATTTTTGCTAGTTTAGTGGGGTCACTGACATCTGCCAGTTTTAATCAGTAAACTAATAGAAGTGTGGTTCTTTGAATGTCACCTGGAAACAGTTTGTCATTTATTCATTCATCTTTAACGACTGATACTGTTTCCTACACATTCTGCATGAACCACCTAACACAGAGGTTCTGTCTTAAATAGGTTTGGGTCACAGACCCTTTTGAGAATATGAACTCACTCCTCAAGGGAAAAGAAAAATACGTGCACACCGACATGCAAAATTGTGCATTCAATTCCACGGGGTTCAGGATCCATTGAAAACTATCAACAGGCCTCAGGTTAAGAATCCCTGATGTACAGTTAAGATGTTATGTCATCTCACATCGGGAAAGATGACAACCTTGATGAATCAAGTAATTAGGACTATGAAACAGAAATAAAGCTAAACATAACCTTTAAAATGTTTTCAACAAATATGTTATCGAGCCATCATTTATATACAAAAAAGGGCACAGATCATAAACGTTCAGTTAGATGAGTTTAACAATCATATTCAACCAAATAACCGAATGTGTAGAACGTGCCCTCACCCTGGAGGTCCTTTGTGCCTCTTCCAAGATGATTCCATCTCCCCGCCTCCCCCCACCACCCCAACTCCAGAGGCAACCACTATTCTGATTTCTCTTCTCATAGATAAGTTTCCCCTCTTCTTGGACTTCATATAAGTGGAATGGTGTATACTTTTGTAATTGTCTTCTTTTGTTCAACATCTTTTTTCTTGAGATTCATCTGTGTTGTTACGTGAATCTGTGGTCTATTCTTTTTATTGTTGAAGAGTATTCCAACGTATAAATATTCTACAAGTTATTTATCCATTCTCCCATTAATTATTCTAATTTTTGCTATTATGAATAAGTACTATTAACACGCATATACAAATATATATGTGAGCAATCCACTTGGGTGGGCTCCTGGAAGTAGAATTGCTTAGGATCATGGGGTAGATTTATGTTTAACTTCTATAAGAAACTAACAAATGCAAAGAGTTCTCCCAAGCATTTGTGCCATTTAACTCTCCCACCTGCAATGTATGAGAATTCGTTGTTCTACTTCCTCACCAACATTTGCTATTGTCAGTCTTTTATTTTAGCCATTCTAATGAGTATGAAATGGTAGTGATCACAGCCTTTTGATGCTCAGATACCATGTCACTAGTGCACTAGAACTTCCTGTCAAAGGCCCTTCCCAGCCTACATGTTCCTCCCTCCCCTACCCCAACCCCATCCCAACAGCGAGGAGTGCAAAGTCCCACTGCCAGATTCAGTGGCCAAGAAGCAGAAAGCTAGGAATGCTGCTTTATCCCAGAACCTTCCAGGGATGCTCCAGGACTCTGGACTTCTTCAGTGTCACACAGGGGGTGAGGGAGCAGGTACACAGGAACATGAGGACTGGGATGTTGTCAGGGAGATGACAAGGAGGAGCCTATCTTTGAGGAACATCTATTTCATTCATTCAGAAGTCTTAAGATAATCGCTCCATCACATACTGTAGGCATCACATGGCTGAAAACAAACTGAATTCAGCCTTGCATTAGTCTGGAATATTTATTACCCATAAGAATGGCAAATGTTTCTAACTTTTTTAACATCAAATGTTGTGGGGAACCATGGCAAAATACAGGGTGTCCTCCAAAAATGTATACGCAATGTCTGTAGGTTCTATTACATTTTGAAAACGAAATGTATTTCTATAAACACAATTATTCAAAGTGTGGACACATGTTTGGGACACCCTGCAGGTGCTCCATGCAGTGATGAAAGTGGGAACTGGCACAGCCACTCTGGAAGGCGGCCTGGCCGAACCCAGGGAACGTTAAATCCTCTAGGACCCAGCAATTCCACTTGCCAGCACTACCCGGGAGTAATGCTTTCACGTGCTCACAAAGAGGCAGCTACAAGGATGTCCACTGCAGCGTTACAAGTTAAAACAACTTAAATGTACACGAATAGATGGAAGTGTAACCAAACCATGGTGTAGAAATCATACCACAATTAAGAATGCAATGAAAGATCAATTAAGCACCAACAGAGTCAAATCTCTAGGACCTACTTTGAGTTAACAAACACAATTGCATAATGCTATGCACAGCATAATACCATGTACACTTCGTTTAAAGAGGGAAGGTGCTTAGGCTCAGGAGGGAGGTGAGCCAGAAATGCAGCCTCTTGTCTTCCACTCACAGGCCTGGTGGTTATGTAAGCGCCCACTACCTAAATGTTCCTGGCCTGTTCTCTGAGATGGGCTCCACCTCCATGCATGGGATGTGGTTCCTTATTCATCGTGCCAGCTCATAGGGGAGCCCAGATAACAAGCCTCCACAAACCAGAGGGTGGAGCCTGGAGAGCGATGGAGGAGAGGTAGGTGGAAACTGCAGTGAGGCACATTGCAGACCATTGTTAGCAAAAAGCAAAACCACCTGACAGTGAGTCACTCCCAGTAGAAACGGGGCACAAGCACGCATTGTGGGTGGGAGTGTAAATTAGCACCCCTTCCAAGTGGAGAGCCACTTGGCAACATCCAGCACGATTCAGAAGGGCACATGTAAGTGTACAGCGTACAGCAGTTAGCCCACAGATAAGGCACGCACATGCAAAATGACAGCCATAGGAGGAGAGTCACTGAGCATTGGTTTGCTTAGCAAAACGTCTGGAAAACACAGGTAGGTCCACAATGGGAACTTGTGAATAAATTAGGCTACATTCATACCATGGAATCTATGCAGCAATTTAAATGATTAACTCCAGAAGTGCTGATAGGGTCTGATCAGCTAGATGTACATTGTGAAAACAAACGTGCCGAACAGTGTGTTTACAATTCTACTCTGTGTGTGACTTGTATACACAAACACACAGCAAAAAAATCTGGAAGGACAGATACCAAAACAGTAGCCATGGTGATCTCTGACGCAGTACTCTAGTACAGGATACTGCTTTTTTCTCATGTAGTCGTTTGTATGTTTCTTTTTTACGATGATTATATTTTTATAATAAAAAATTAACCTATTTTCATTGGAATTTTTGCAGACCTTTCCAAGCAGACAGACTCTGTCTGGACTCAGAGGAGAACTGGGTAGAGAGAGGGCAACGATGGAGTAGCTGCTTTTCACATACCAAAGGGCTAGGTGCTTCTGGAGTTTGCATCATCCACCTGGAACCCTATTCAAAATCATTCCTTTGAGCACTGAGCTGGGTGCAAAGGGGAGAAGCCCTGCCCCCTGGACGCTCAGAAAGCCGAGGCTACCGGGCCCAGCCTTGCATGCTGTGCACAGGATTGAGACAAGCAGCCGAGTGGACAAACCAGCTGACCTCATTCTTTCTAACCCCGAGGCTTATGGTTCTTTCAATGACGTGAGAGAGAGAAAGAGGCAAGTGAGCACACAGGCTAAAAGTCATGCAGGAAAAGTACCTCCCAGGGGCTGACCACCTGCCAGGCATCCAAGCAGTGAGCGAGACAACGGAGGCCCCTGATTTCAGAGAGCAGACAGCTTACCCAGATACAGCCCGGGGACATGAATCCCAGTCTGAGGCCTTTCCCTCTTCTTTTCTCTTCTAGAAAACCAAAGGAAATCCTGGCCCTCTTCCTTCTGCCCACCTTGGGCAGCTGATGGCTCCTGGTCGACACCAAACTCTTTTCCGCCTGGAGCTCGAGGTGCCCTCCACAGGGAGGGCTGCAGGCTGACCCTTTACCATCTTTCAGGGTGCAGCTTAAGTCAGGTCCTCAGAGAGGCCGTCCTTTACCCCTGTAATCTCCTCTCATAACACCCTGCTTATTCCCTTCAATGCCCTATCACAACCGCAATTATTGCTTATTTATTTATCTGCTTATTGTCTACCTCCTCTAAGAAACCAGCTCTGTCTCATTCACTATTTAGTCTGTAACACCTATCACACGTCTGTACACAGGTAGGAACTCGGTCAATATTGGCTGAACTACAAATCAATGTGGATTACACCTTCCACATAAGCCTTCTCTGGGGCCACATCACAAGCATTCCCGAGCTGGGATGCCTCGCCTTCTACCCACGATGCCAGGTAGCAGCCACTTATGGCGCTCGGCTTCTTTTCCACATCTGAGCTTTCAGACCCACATCTTCAAAGGGCACAGAGCACCCGTCTGCTAATCTCGGTGCATCCTTAGTGCTCTGTGCACAGCCGTGAGCCCGGCTTGTAGCTGAGCAGAGCTCCCCCTATGGGAGCGCACTGACCACCAGGGGGCAGCTCCTGCATTGAGCATCTGCCCCCTGGACCAGTTGTTCCAGGTCATTCCGCCGTTAGGGTCAATTTGCATATTGCCCTTTTATTATATAGGATTTGTTGGGATTTTCCTGGTAACAGCACCCCAGTAGAAAAAAATAGTAAGTTATCCCTTACTATTGTGGGCAATATTGACAGAACTGTCACTCAAAGTGCCCTGGCCTGGCAAGTGGCAGCCTGGGACCTAAACTAGACAAACTGGGCTCCGTCTGCTGAGACGTCGAGTCTCACACAGGAAAACAAAAGGATGCACCACACTGTCCGCTAGCTCCTGTCAATGCATCTATCCCTTCTGAACCCCGTTTTCAGTTGATTTTTTTATTCTGTGAGCTATCCCATTGCCATCTAGTGAAACCCAGTGTTTGCTTGAGTCTTGGTTTCCCACGGCTGCCAGAACAAAATGCCACAGACGGGCATCGTAGAACCAGGGAAAGTATTCTCTCACTGGAGAACTGGGAGGCGAGAGGTCTGACGTCAGCGTGCGGCAGGAGTGGTTCCGTCTGGAAGCTCCGAGGGAAGAGCCTGCTCCGTGCCTCTCCCCCAGGTTTTGGTGGCCACTGGTCATCTGTAGCATTCCTTGGCTTCTGGGTGCATCACTCATTCTTGCTTCTGCCTTCACTTCTGTGTTTGTGTCCAAATTTCCCTCTTCTTTTAAGGACACCAGCCATGGGGATAGGGCCCCACCCTAACCCAGTGTGACCTCTTTTTAACTTGACTAGATTGGAAGACCCTGCTTCAAACTGAGGTCACATTCAGAGGTTTCAGGTGGACATGGATTTTGAGGGGTCACTATTCAACCCAGTGCAACACTCAACCAGAAAAACCTCGGGTCCACTTAGGTTCCACTGTGAAGAGTGGGTTCTATATATTGTCTGCTTTAGTCCTGACAACACTTGAGGTGGACATGGCCTATCTTCATCTTAGAGGTGGAAAAATGAAGACCCAGAGAATTTGTTTGAAGTCAAATGACCGGTAAGAGGCAATTAAGATTCAAAGCAAGGTCTATACCTGATACAAACATGTTCTCCCAATAAGGACATTATATTCCAGGCTTTGCCCTACTAGGAAATGCATTGATGGCTCCCCAACCCCCAACTCCAAGCTATGGAAGGAAAAGGGTCCACTTCCCAGCCTGGGGCTAGGTCTGCACATCTCCACAGGACCGTCTGCCTTCTCTGTACGCAGTCCTAGGTGACAAGCAAAGGCAGGAAATCTGGACGGCAACAGCAAGAGCCTGAGGGAATCAGAGAACTGCCACAATTGCCTGGTCAGACGTCCACGTGGGCAGCAGTGGCAGGAAGAGACCTGCTGAGCTCTGGATCAGATGGGCAAAGAGACAGGAATAGAAGGTAGGTCGGGACTGGTGCTGGGCAGTCTCTTCTCCGTGAGGCCCAGGCCGGAAAGGCATAGCCTGGATGTTCAAGGCACCAAAAAATGTTAGAGCTTTTCCCTCCACAAGGCTCTTGGTTGAATAAGGACTAGGATCATGTAACCGCTCAACGCTCTCTGACTGCTCCATCCTGGAGACTTTGGGACAAATTCAGATCTTCCCAGAGCCTGTATGTAAAGAGCAGGGAGAGGCATGTTCTTCAAAAATATTAGATCCGAGGACTGTTTGGATTTTGAACTTAAGAGACTGTCCCTCATCCTTCAAAAGGGAAGCCACACACACACACACACACACACACACACACACACTCCAAGAAAAATTCACTGATCGAATTGCTCCCTAGGGCCAGAGCATCAGGCCCTGGAAGACACCCGAGGAGGGTCAGAATGTCCTGAGGTAAAAATAGAATCCCTGAGCTTTGAACCTCAGTCCCCCTGGGGGACAGTGTTGTTGGTCCTTGGGAACCAATGTCTGCAAAGATTTTAATCAAGGGGGCTCCTTTTGTAATGTTTCCTCTTATTATAAGAGTACGGCCCATTCCTCATAGAAACACTGGAGAGAGAGAAACAAAAATAAAATAAAAATTATTCACTAGCGTACCGTCTGGAGACACTGGCTGTAAACATTGTATTTGTATCCTTCCAGGTACCTTTCTTAAGTGCTCCCCCCCCCCCCCCCCATGGTGTCTAATGTGCATAGTTTTGCAATCTGCTTCTTTAACTTAAAAATAGATCCCAAACATCTTTCCATCCCATTAGATGTTATTCTACAACATGACTTCTCATGGCTGTGTAATAACTCACCGTGCGATGCCCTCACTGAACATTCAGTTGTCCAGATTGTTGCTATAATAACCAGTGCTACAAAATTTCATGCCGCTGCTAAATCTCTGCACGGGATTTATTTCCTTAGACTAAATGCCTGAAAAATGTAATTACCGGGTCAAAAGCTATGCATCACTTGAGGTTCTTTTTACATGTATTACTAAACCATCCACTGGAAAGGTTGTGCCAATTTATACTCCCACAGATGAGGGAGCCCATTTCATGAGTCTTTTGCCAACAGTGTACTTTGCCCTTTAAAAAAATCTTCAAGTCACCACTTAGCCTATGAAAGCATCCACATCTCTGAAAGGCAAGGTTTTTCCTGCCAAGAAGTACATTTGAGTCACTAGAGGATTAGTGAGCAGTTATTCTAAAACCATTTCATTTCTGCCCTTGCCCCTGATGTTGCTTTTCCGCCCACTAATGTCTTAGGAAAGAAAATTGTAAAGAACGTAAATGAAGAGGGAAACATACAAATCCTCTTGTCTCTGCAGACGCTGAAGAGGCCGGTGCTCCAGTCCCCGCCAGTCTGGACAACGGTGGTGACCGCGGTCCTGCCTCTGGCTCCCCGGACGGGCTGCTTCACCACAGCCTGGGCTGGCGCCTGGCTCCTGGCGAGTCAAGGATGGTGATTAATTAGGAAACAAAGCTCCGAAGGATGACCATTAAGCCAAGACAGAGCCATAAAGAGGAGACACGGGCCCAGGGATTCGAAGCCCACGCTGACCTCACCATCGCCCTCCCTCCTCCTCCTTCCTACCTTCTTGGACTTTTTGCCCCACCGCTACTAATGGCATTATTATTCCAGGTCCAGTCTACTTCCTCAGTGCTTCCTAATTACAAACTTGGAAGCAAGGGGCCTCAGCTCAGATCCCAGCACGCCACTGCCTGGAACAGGAGGCAGGCTGGAAGGGAAGAGGATGCTTGTGACGTAGGCAGTGAGGCACCAGGGGACAGACAGCTGGCTGTGCTATGGCCAGGGCTGGGAGCTGCCCGTCTAGATGTGACAAGCAGGGCCCTGTCACTAGCCATTCGGCAGTACAGGCGATGCTGAGGGGCCTAAGCTTTTCAAGAGCCTACAAAAGTGAGACCTGGGAAAAGGTACTGGCTCCAGAACAGAAAAACTGCCAAATAGAAATCACTTAATGCTCCATTAAACACAAAAATCTGGCATTGTGTCACTCTCACTCATTGTCAAATTCAGAATTCACAAATATTTCATTACATTTGGAAACAACTTACAATTCTTTTATTTAAAAAAATCCCAAGTGTGTAGGACCGCTGAGAAGCAGCAGCCAATCATACATGACTCACAGCCAAGTAATTTCAAAAGCAAAATTATAAAAATCATTTTGCTTACGATATGGCAAAAAACAACATATGGCTATAACGTATGGCATGGACACATTTGAATACGTTTGTCATAATGTGGGTGAGCACCTATTGCTATGGACTGAATCGTGTCCCCCAAATTCATGTTGACGCTGACCCTCAACGTGACTGTATTTGTCAATAGGGCTTTTCGGAGGCAATGAAGGTTAAATGGGGCGTGGGGCGGGGTCTGGTCCGAGAGGATTGCTGGCCGTGGAAGAGCAGGAAAGGCCATCCACGTACACACACAGGGAGAAGGCTGCAGCCAGAAAGAGTCCCGGCCACAACTCGACCCTGCGAGCTCCCCGACCCTGCACATCCAGACTCCAGAACTGGGAGAAAATAAACTCCCGTTCTTCAAGCCACCCAGTCCCCCATATTTCACTATGGCAGCCCAAGCTAAGAAACGTGTGTGGATTTCTAATCGGCCCTGAAAAATAACTCCCTTTACACTATCTTACGTCCTGTTTCCATGTAAGCTCCAAGGTTAGACCCTCTGGCGGCCCCAGAATCCAGCGTGCGCCCTTGAACTAGGTGGGTACATGTATTTGTTGAATTGGGTCAAATTGAATCGAATTGAATCACATGTCTCTTCCATTGCATTTGAGTCCTCAAGTCTAGCTACTAGTGAGGTGGCCTTCAGGGTGTTTCAGCCTCCGGGGAGGCAGGGCTCTCGGGTGTGAGCTGAAGAAGCCTGCAGAGCAGCCTGCAGCTGCCTGACCCCTCACAGGGCCTGACCCCTCACAGGGCCCTGACCCCTCACAGGACCCGGGGCTCACCTCTCCCTGTGCTGACGCCCTCCAGGTGGCGCTTCCCTCAGGATGCCAAGAGCTTCCAATTATCTCCAACTTTCAGAAGAGGAATGTCTTAGCTCCGAGCCCCTGGATTCCACCTCCCCCTGAAGTAAACCATCTACAGCCGGCAGCCCTAGACTAGATGTGTCTGCCTCTACCTCACTCGGCATCATGTGAGCAGCACCTTTTGTTACAGGGAGGCAGCCTGCCCCTCTCTGTTCCAAATCAAATAACCAAGAGGATCGCTTTTCCTTCGTGAAAATAAAAGTTGGTTTTTAGGGGGTGTTTTACCTAATTTTGAACACAAGAAATACAGTATTGAGTTTCTTGCCTTTATACCCGGATTCTTTAGTGATTTTTGTATTAAAACATTTGAGTTGACAAGCACTCGCTAAAACATTCCAGTTCAAGATTATATATAACTCACGTGTCATAATGGCCCAGTGGCTCGGTTGGTTGGAGCATCATCCTGTGCACCAAAAGGTTATGGGTTCAATTCCTAGTCACAGCACATACCTAGGCTGCGGGATCAATCCCGTCGGGGAGCGTATGGGAGGTAACTGATCAGTTTCTCTCTCACCTCAATGTTTCTCTGTGTCTCTCCCTTCCTAAACAATCAATAAAAACATACCCTCAGGTGAGGATTAAAAAGAGCAGGAACAAGCATAGCTACCCTTCACTGAGCACTTTCTGTGTACAAGGCACTTGGTAGCTCCTTCAAGAAATGAGTGATTATTCAGGGGCCACCACGGGGATCGAACTGAAGTAGCTACTGTAGCTTCCTGCGCAGTGTTTAGCTCTATCATCCCAGAGAATGTTCCACTACCACTTGGTTTCAAAGGGTGGAACTCACTGGCAGTCATCAGAAATAGTTTCACTTGCTCAGGCTTCAACATTTTGAGGATAAAGAGACATCCTTTCACCCAAGCCAGCCCTTCTCTTTTCTCGAGCCAAGCGAGGCCAGAAGGAACTAATCAGGTGCCCCCGTTTGAACTACACATGGGAAATGATAGCAACTCTTTCTTCCCAAGCCCAGCGTTTCCCTTGGCTCCTTATAAGAGACTAGTGGCCCGGTGCACGAAATTCGTGTGCATTAAGAGGGAATTAAGTAGAGGAAGTATTTTAATATTGCTATTTGCCCTTTCTCTATAATAGCAGTGTCAGAGATGAAGGAAAGTAGTAAAATGTATATTGAAATAGTATATACATTTATGAATAAATAAACAATAACAAAATGATACGTTGTGTTGCCAACAATGGCTTCTTTTGGCTTCAGAGGTACTTTGTGCCAATAGTTGGCCTTTAGACATATTCCCACCTCCCCACTGTCAGGGTCTGTGGTGTGGGTGAATGGATTCCTGGCTGTCAGGGTGCTGACAGCAAACTGACCAATGGCCAATTCTGTGAAGAATGGGGCTCCCGCCGGCCTGCTGTGTGGGTCCTGGGTGCGGGTGCCATTCTGTATGGGTCGTGGGTGTGGGTGCTGTGCTGTGTGGGTCCTGGGTGTGGGTGCTGTGCTGTGTGGGTCCTGGGTGTGGGTGCTGTGCTGTGTGGGTCCTGGGTGTGGGTATCAGGCTCCCTCCTCCCTCCTGTCAGACTCTGGGGCCCACCAGCGGGACTGAGTCAAGTCCCCACACACCTGTACAGGCCTCAAAATCACTTGAGACTCAGACCCTGCTGGCCCCACCCCCACTGGGCAAGACCCAGAACCGGCCGCCGCACACCTGTCAAGCCTGGCCCCCCTGCAGCGTCACGTCAGAGCTGAGTGGGGGCGCACGCAGGCAGCACCACGTCCCAGGTCAGGAACACATGCAGGCAGCACCACGTCCCAGGTCAGGAACGCAGGCAGGCAGTGTCATGTCCCTGGCCAGGGACGCAGGCAGGCAGCCTCACCTCAGTGCTGAGCAGGGATGCCCACAGGCAGCGTGACGTGAGCACTGGGCAGGCCTGCACATGCCTGTGCTGGGGGGCAGAAGTCCCCGCCCCCATCCCTGCCCAGCAGCTCCTGCCTGTTGACCGGTCACCAGTCACCACTGAGACACCGTTAGAACCAATTAGCATATTCCCTCTTTACTACATACAGTGGGGCCTTGACTTACGAGTTTAATTCGTCCCATGACGAAGCTCGTAACTCAAATTACTCGTATTTTCACCATTACAATGACACATGATGCTGGGCTGATGTTGTGGCATTCACTGTGACGTTCGCTGCGCCAACTAGCGGTGGGGTATCTGAAGCTGGCTCGTAACCCGAATTTTAGCTCACAACTCAAAGCAAAAAATCAGCCAAGAGACGGCTCATATCTTGAAAAACTCGTTAGTCGGGACACTCGTAAGTCAAGGCCCCACTGTAGATTGATTTGATCAATCAAACCCAAGAGCAAAAGCTGGGGAGAGAAAGGGGTAAGAGAAAGAGGGAAAACGCCGAACTCCCTACCTCCAGTTGGAAATTAAATGTTCATCTTCAGATGACACGAATGAAAGCGACAGAGGAGAGTGCGCATTGAGTAAGCACACATCCTCGGGAAACTTGGAGAAGTCACTTCCAAACCAATTCATAGTGACAGGAGTTCTCCGGGCACTGGGCTATCCTTTCCCTTGACAGTAAACTGGTTCTATCACAGGTTCAGTCCAAAGGGGAATAGCTCTTCTGAAGAATGTTGCCTTGACATTCTGGAACCTGAGGTCACAGCCGCTCAATTTAAAGACAGGCACACGCCTAACTGTGGCATGTCCGTCTTAGTAATCTGAAGGGAGATGCTGCTGAAGATATAGTGTATGTTAAAAAAAAAACAAAAAAAAACAGCCTGGCTGGCATGGCTCGGTGGTTGAGCATTGACCCAAGAACCAGGAGGTCATGGGGTCATGGTTTGATTCCCCGTCAGGGCACATGCCTGAGTTGCACGCTTGATCCCCAGTAGGAGGAGTGCAGGAGTTGGCCGATTTTCTCTCATCATTGATGTTTCTATCTCTCTTCCCCTGTCTCTTACTCTCTGAAATCAATAAATATATACTGTATGTACTAGAGGCCTGGTACATGACATTCGTGCACTGGGGGTGGGGGGTGGGGGGGGGGGGCGGGGGGAGCCCTCAGCCTAGCTTGCGCCCTCTTCGCAGTCCGGGACC